ATCTATGTACCAAGTTTAAATGACAACAGACAAAGCATGTTCAAAATACAACATTTTCAAAAAACAAGATGGCTGCCAGTCAGCCATTTTGAATCGAATCGCTAAACCACTGCATGTGCATATGTCCCACATAAGGTACTAGGCACATGCAAAGAATGAACGGAAACGGTCCACAGGATTCTGAAATATGACGTTGGACAGACTGACGCACGGACAGACGGAGGGACAAACTCAGGAACTCACGGACGGTTGGGACATGTATCCTAACATGTATCCTAACATTTTTAAAAAAAACAAGATGGCTGCCAGTCGGCCATCTTTGATCCAATTGTGAAATAAATCGTCATGGACATGTATCCTAACATGTATAATCTATGTACCAAGTTTGAATGAAAACTGACAAAGCATGTCCAAAATACAACATTTTCAAAAAACAAGATGGCTGCCAGTCGGCCATTTTGAATCGAATCGCTAAACCACTGCATGTGCATATGTCCCACATAAAGTACTAGGCACATGCAAAGAATGAACAGAATCGGTCCAAGGGATTATGAGATATGACTCCGGACGGACGCACGGACGCACAGACGCACGGACGCACGGACACACGGACGGACGGAGACCGAATTATAAGTCCCCGTTTTCGGACTTCGTCCGAACGGGGACTAATAAATACACAACAATGCATTCAACAGGATAAGTTCCAGTAGAGTCAATGCAAGTTGGTTTCATGCTTTTTTCTATTTATCTATTGTGAATTTGTGAATCTATACTGAATCTTTAATATAATGGTTAATGGTTAATGGTGTGTGTATGGTATGTATGTGCAAAATAAAGAATATACATTACTGATACAAGTTCTTTAACGGGTTGTGTCACATTGACTGACGTCACATCAATCAAAATACTGCGTGTAACTAAGCAATGTAAAGCGTGTATTTATTTGCAGTTATTTTACACAGTGATAATTCGAAAAACAGCCGAATTCTAGGTAAATAAATTCAAGTAAAAATTTTTCTTTTTCTCTTCGGGATATCATCATCATCGTCAACAATTACAGTCGGTTCTCTAAGACTGAAATTGATATCTGACAGATTCTGGGTTTCTAATTGGTTGTCATCCACATTATCTTTAAGAGGATTTCTAACCATTTGTTGAGAATCTTTATCCATCAACATGTTCACTTTGTTCAACACTTCGTCCATCTTTGAGAGCAGTATCTTGTAGTCTACTTCGTCATCCATTTTCTTTGTTGTACCTGTAAACAAAGTATGACAACCAATAAATGTTTGAAATTTTTTTATTTACAGCATTTAGTAATGTAATCTAGACTTTAATACGAGATGGTCATGTTAAAAATGTGCTCTTAAGTGTACTCTTAAGTAACTCTTAATTTAGTAAACAGTTAACCGAACATCGAATTACGGGCAACATTAAACGTTGAACAAAACAACAAATTTATGTTGCCCGTAATTCGGAGTTCGGTTAACTGTTAATTGAACATAGAGTTATAATTTCGGCGCGGTTTTGCAAAAGTGGGAGTGGTTTCTAAAAATGGGCGTGGCCATGTTTTTAACTCGATGATTTCATAACTCGATGTCCGTAACTCGAACAATTCAGCATCTCAATTGTGCTTGATATGTTGTAAGTTTATACAGATTGTTGGCTGTTTATTCTTAACAAATATGCCCGATAACTTTATTTATGAATGCTGGCTTACAAAAGCCTACTCTGAAACATTACATAGGCAAGGCATAAGATGCATAAGATGCCAGGTAACAAGGTATTTATCAAAATAAAATATAAAGCTTCAATTCGAGCCAGTAAGATCGAAACCCACTAAACAACAATTCAAGAGAAAGCTGAATGATAATAAATAAAACATGTTTAAGTATTCCTAAGATGTGTCTTTTGTTTTCTTTTTCTCCTCTCCTCTCCTCTGGTGTCTTGCTTGTCACTCATGAGATACAATTCTGAGTGTATCTAAACTTGGGAGACAATTCGAGACTTATAGATTGACTTCAATCCAAAGTCTTCAAATAAATTAGTGGTTAGAACTAATTGGCACTGCCTGACATTGCAGTGTTCAATGATTATTGCTACATGTGCAGTGGATTATTTTGGAGGGACTTTATTTCTGCAAATAGCTTGACACTTGTCCGATCTTGAAGTTCCGTGATCAACCATATATGGTAGATCAAAAACTACGTTTAATTTGACTCAAATTGTAGATTTTCGTGAATCTTAATTGTGAGAAAAAAT